CTGGTCACGACTGAATCAAGGTCATTAGGGAGTCCAGCGAGTGTAAGAACTAGAACATCTTCTGTCGTTGCTCTTGTTGTTTTTCAATACTAGCAGAAACTGGCATCAACGTCTCAAATTCTTCCATGACTGCCTGAACTTGTCCCAAGTAGGTAGACATATCTAATTCCTGTTTCTTCAAACTTGTCATTCGCGATATTACATCATAGAAACGAGATATGTCATTAGTGTATAGATTACGAGCCTTTTCCCAAACTAAATAACATGTCTGGAATGGACGGAACAAGGGCATCAACTTGGAATCAATAGATCGCCACAGGATACTACATAACTGAGCATCGACCTTCTCCCACTGTGTTTTGGCCTTTTCATCACCTTCGCTAGCCTTTTTTGTTAAATGATCTTGAACTCCTTGACCTTTACACCACAACTCGACAGATGAAGCCCAATCTAAGTAGTTTAAACCTCCCATTAAAGGTTCTGAGGTAATCATAACACCGGAACTGCCAGAACCCGAGTTTCTAGACCCGAAAGCATCGACTCCCAAAGACATGGTTGGATTATCACCAAATAACAAAAAGAATCAACTGAAAATTCTCTGAAACAGATGAAGAAAACACTGTGTTTGCCGGAAAAGTACTGTAGCTGCCGGAAAAATCAGTGTAGTCGCCGGAAAAACTCAAAGTGGTCGGAATTAAAAAATAAAAATATGGACAGGCTCGGAATTGCAGGGCGATCCAACTGTCCTGAAGGAGCGAAGCCGAAATCTGACAGGAAGGGGTCTCGCGCCGGCGCGTGGGACAGACGCGCCACCGGAAACAGTGCTCCGACAGGCGCGTGACGGCACGTGGGTGACTGTTTTCCGGTGATTTTTTCTGGGGTTTGGTCGGATCTCTCTTGGGAACCTTGTGGTGGTGTTGGATTTTTCACAACACTGTTAATTAGTGACTTTGACGCAATAAGTCACTTAGGTCACCGGAAAATTGCACGGTGACTGAGTTCTTTCTTCCCGGATATCGCTGGAATGACGCACAACGATAAATTTCTCACCGTAGCTCTGATACCATGTGAGAAAGCACGGGAGAAAATATATTATTGATGTATTGACATATGTTACAATGAGCCCTATATATATACACACATAACATGTCCTACTCCTAATATATATTGGATTAGGGTTATTTATTTACTCCTATTTACATGACTATTCTAACAAGATGCATTTTTCACCAAACTTTATTTGCCTCATAATGTCAAGAAGAAAAAACCAATTAACATGGTCACAAGAATTCTCTAGCTCCAACTTATATATCACCCCTTTCTTCTTCATTTCTAACTAATAATCAAGACATTCATTTGCCACCCGTTAAGCATCTCCAATTTGTCTTCCTATTATGAAGGCATTTCGATTGCCTGACACCAATTTATTCATAACCCCTTAATATTTCAGTTAAAGTTTTAGCTATGATCTTATAGACATTCCCCAATCCACCAATAGACTGATGGGCCTATAATTTTTTATGTTCAGAGCTCCTCTCTTTTTGGGGATGAGAGCTATAAATGTTGCATTGGAGCTCCTCTCAATTGACCCTTTTCGGTGAAAATAATCTACTTGTCAGAATATCATTTTTCACAATCATCCAACATTTCTAAAAATAGCCATATTGAATCCCCCATGCTGAAGCCACATATATTAAAACTTGAAATACCCTTTCCCTTAAAGGACCAATTATTCTTTGGCAACTCTAACTAAGTTGAACCTTTCAAATCCAAAATTCTTCTATGCTAAAACTAAAAGAGATAGATAAGACTTTTTATAGCAACTTCTAATGAAGCCATTTGCCAAACACTATCTCAGGTAACTTGGAGTTCAACTTTATCTTGAAAATGAGATCACAAATTTGGAAAATTAGTTCTTCCGTATTCCGCAGGAGAATTGAGACCTACATGCTTAACCATGGTAGATTGGTGGAGTATGGGAGTTAGAATGTCTGCCACAACATTAGATGAATCAGCACTTCACCTAGATATGTACCTAACTCAATTTGCTCTCGAATTCTCTTTTTTTAGTAGATAATTTGTTCCCAAAATTTTGTAATAGATAATCTTCTATTCTGCTCCCAAATTTTGAAAAATAAAAGTAAGTTTAAAACCAACCTCCTCTATTACCCAGTCATTTGTATTAAATCTACTAAAGTTGGCTTTTAATTTGATTTTTGTTAGTAAAATCACCATAGATCTTAATTGTTTTATCTCGTTCTATCCCGATCATTGTCTATTTCATGATCTTAAAACGAAGCATATTATTGCTAAAGAACATTTATCTGGTGATCTCTACATGCTTGATGAATGGGAGCATCCGCCTATTGCATGCACCAGTGTCGTGTCTTCATTTGAAGCACATTGTCGATTGGGACATCCTTATCTACCTACGTTGAAGAAGCTTTGTCCTCGGTTTCAGAATATCTCCTCATTGGATTGTGAGTCATGTCGACTTGCAAAACACTATCGCATCTCGTTAGCTCCAAGGGGTTAATAAGCAAGCAGAGTCAGCTTTTGAACTAGTGCATTATGATGTTTGGGGACCATATCCCGTTGTTTCGAAAACAGGGTGTAAGTATTTTGTCACTTTTGTAGATAATTTTTCTCGCATGACTATATTTACTTTACGAAGAGCTGCTCTGAAGTGTTTACTCACTTTTCCGCCTTCTGTGCTGAAGTCAAAACTCAATTTAATACTTTCGTACGTATTCTAAGAAGTGATAACGCTAAAGAATATATGCCTGAGTTATTTCGGTTGTACATGAGACAACATGGTATCCTAGCCACATATGTGGCTTCGCCGGAGTTGAGCTCTGTCTCGCCGGAGTAAGCTTTGTCTCGTTGGATATCTATCATATCGTGAATTGGTCATCACTCGCAGGTGTGGGAGAACTACCACTCTCCGATCTGCAATAACCCAGAACCTAGTGGCCGGATAAAAAGCACGTGAATTACATGCGTCGAAGAAGTCATTCGGACCAGATTTCTCGGGCGATCGCGTGACGTTGCCTGTAGCCCCTATTTGAGGTCTGATTTATAGAAGGAGAAGCGCATGTCTCATCACTTTCGCAGCATGTCATAATTATCTCGGGAAGAGGCGGCAAAACATTCTCACTATAAATAAACTCTCCATTTCCCGAATATTCAGTTGAGAATATTCAGAAAGTGGAGGGACTATCTGTATTAGTGGAAAATAAACTTGCCGCGTGAATTTACATCATGACAATAGGTGCCATGGAAGTTATTACGACAAAAAAGAATGACGTGTTCAGATGGTATAAACAACATCACGGGGTTGTTTGCGATAACAATATGGAAAGGAACGGTCAATCCCTCATTACACCCAATTTACTATTATTATCTCAACCGTTACAAATCAATCACGTAACGGGCAATTAATGAAATAAATACAGAAACAAGCAGGAGATAAACAATGCAAATGGTTACGAGTGATAGTACTATTTAAATCCCCCTTCCATATCTTGTATCCCCATCAAAAATTCTACTAAGTCATATTGTCAATTATAGAATTCTCTTACTATTCTCTATTAATGGAATACTATTTCTTGCCTACTGGAGAAAGGCTGCAATTATCAATAAGATTTCTATTTCCTTTATTCTCTCAATTTATTTCTTTATTATTATAACTCTTTTTTTGCATCAATTATATTTGGAAAAGTGAAGTAAATCGGTTGATGAAAACCCAAATTATTTTATTTAATTGCTTTGACCTCAAAAACTAATTTTTAAACTAAACAAACTGGAAATAAGGAAAGAGCAAAAAGACATACCTTTGCTGGCGCTAATGAGGAAGAACCCATCAGAGGTAACTGGGCTATAGAACAAGTCAACCACTGGACGTGAATGACCATGGCAAACCAATGGCACTGCCACTTTCTTTTTATCCATTTTCACGAAACCCTAACCTAAAACCTTAACTATGTTTCTGTATTTTATCCCACCGTCTTCAAGTTGTGCAAATCAGATATAAGCAAAAGCCTTTCTTATAAACATTTTCTGGAGCCAAAACAATGAAAATACAAACAGGAGTAAAAGTCTTGGGTTTAAAGTTAGAAAGCCAAAATTTAAAGTCGAGCGCAAATGGCAATTGAAGTCTAGTTCTTTACACAAAATAAAGCTTGCTTGGGAGCTTAGAAACAAAAATTAAGAGTGTGTTTGGTACGAAGGCAAATGTTTTTCGTGCAAAATGTTTTCACCGAGTTTTATCACTTATTTAACCTTATTTGATTGGTGAATTACAATTTTTTTTCATACCACTCTATTTTCTTCAAGAATTTAATTATTCTTTTAAAAATTCACACAAAAGGAACTAATGTATTGCTTTACCTTTTTATACAATTGAAATTTGTGCTCCATAACTAAAAAGAAAATACTATTTTTTTGGTTGAAAAAAAAAACGCTCTTTCTACAACATAAAAGTAAAGTACTCATTTTGTGAAAATTAAAGAAAATACTTTTTAAACATAATAAAAAAAATACTCTTTTTGTTAAAATGAAAGAAAATACTTTTACTACATCATTTTGTAGGAAAGAAAGAAATATTTTTTCTACATCATGAAAAGAAACTAATTCTTTTGTTAAAATGAAAAAAATATTTTTTTATATCATGAAAAGAAAATACTCATTTGTTGAAATGAAAAAAAAGTACTCCAACTATAATATGAAAAGAAAGTACTATTAATTATAATATTTCAATTTAGGTTGGGGGTGGGGGTCGGGGTTGGAGTGGATGGGGTGGGTAAGTGTCAAGACCCAAAATTCTCACCATCGGGATCGTGATGGCGCCTAACATCACACTTGCCAGGCAAGCCAACGTTAGAGATTATTTAAGCATTTCTTCCTATTTTTAGTAATTATCAATGAACAGGCAAAGAAATAAGCGAAATAGATGTAAAGATGTATATATATCGGTTTCGTTTACATAATACTTCTACCTAGAAATTCGGTGTCACAATTCACGAACACACTATGATTTTCTACAAACATCAGCCTGAAAGAAATTATAACTCTTTTAGAAATAAAGAAAACAGTAATATACAGATGTAGAAGGGAACGTCAGGGCCTGCGGACGCCAGCACGACTACGTTGGGTCTCCAAACTGTGTAACCTGAAGCCAACCTCTCAATCAGCCACTACCTGCTCCAAATCTGTACGGAAAGTGCATAGTGCAGTATTATTACAACCCGATCTCATGTACTGGTAAGTGCCGAGCCTAACCTCGACGAGGTAGTGACGAGGCTACGGCGGGGCATTTACAATATAACTTGCATACAGTATGTAATAAAAGCAGAAAGAAGGACAGGACAAAATAAAGCAGTAACTTGCAAGGAATGAATACAAAACTCAAGTGTCATATCAGTATTCATCTATAACCAACCCTTAAGTAAAATGCAAAGCTACAGAATAACTTACACAGTAGAAGAAAGATACATAAACTGATGCGGCACGCATCTCAATCCCACCATATATCAATATCAATATGAATATTCACCCTTATTGCTCCATATCAATCCACCATTATTCCTCCTGTTGCGGCGTGCAACCCGATCCTACCGTATAATAGCATTTCACCCTTATTCCTCCTCAATATATCACCATTATTCCTCCTGTTGCGGCGTGCAACCTGATCCCACTGTATAATAGCATTTCACCCTTATTCCTCATCAATATATCACCCTTATTCCTCCTGTTGCGGCGCGCTACCCGATTCCACCGTATCAGCATCAATTACTCAACAAGTACATAAATTTCACAATTTAACTCAAAACTCTTCACGATATTTAAACCTCAAACCAAAGCAAACGGAAAGCTTGTACACTATGAAACTTCACATAAATAATACTACTAAGTGAAACCAACCCAAAATATACCATAAAACACCGATAAACCAGCTTAAGCCAATAATATAAGACAATGAAACTGCAGGGTAGCTAATACCTTCAACAATGAAAAACAATGTCTGACAATTAGCAATTAAACATGGAAATACCAATAAAGCATGTAGAAGTTAAGGCAGGGAAGAATATATAATAAGAACGGGAAGAAAATAGGCAAAACAGATAAATTGGCGGCGCATAGGTACTCGTCACCTCACCTATACGCCACTCACATGGATTTTCACATAGCAGTTAAGTCAACGATTTCCTAATCCCTCAAGTCAAAGTTAGACACAACACTTACCTCGATCCATAGGCCACTCACTGCTCAATTACCGATTTTTCTCTAGATTCCACCTCCAAACCACTCGTATCTAGCCATAACTAACTTAATAACATCAAATATTGCTAAAGAATTCAATTTCAATACATAAATTTAGGTTTTCAAAACTTTCCCACAAAAAGTTAAAACCCGACCCCGGCTCGCTTGGTCAAAACTCGAGGTTCGAACCAAAATCCATTTACCCATTCACCCCCGAGCTCGAATATGTAATTAGTTTCGAAATTCGACCTCAAATCGAGGTCTAAATTCCAATAATACAAAATCCCTAATTCTACCCAAACCCCCAATTTCTACCATGAAAACCCTAGATTTTAGGTTGAAAATTCATGAAATGTAATGGGTAATTGAAAGGAAGTAGTTTAGAATCATTTGCCAACATTTTGGGGAAGAAATTGTCTCTTGAAAATCGCCTCTAAGTCTTCTAGTTTTGAAATTTTTACAAGAATGGCCAATTCCCGTTTTTGTTTCTATTTTTAAAACACTGGGCAGGCCTTCTTCGTGTTCGCGAAGGGCCTGCCGCATTCGCTTGATGACTTACGCGATCGCGAATTCCTCCTCGCGTTCGCGAGGGGTAAAGCCCCCATCGCTCCGCATTCGCGACTCAGTCTCCGCGTTCGCGTAGAAGAAATTATTCTTCAGACCAATTCACTCTTCGCGTTCGTGAGAATACCTTCGCGAACGCAAAGAAGAAAACACCAGATGACAGCTGAAGCCAAAAACCAGATTTTTCTAAGTTCAAAACAACCCGTAGCCTATCCGAAACTCACCCGAGCCCTCAGAGCTCCAAACCAAACATGCACACAAGTCTTAAAACATCATACGAACTTGCTCGAGCGATCAAATTGCCAAATTAACACCTAGAACTACGAATTTAGCACCAAATCACATGAAATTCTTAAGAACACTTCGAAATTCCTATTTTCACAACCGGACGTCCGAATCACGTCAAATCAGTTCCATTTCTCACCAAATTTCATAGATAAGGTATAAATATCATTTGGACCTGTACCGGGCTTCGGAACTAAAATACGAGTCCGAATCCCGATACCGACAAGATCAAACATTAACCAAATTCGTAAAACCATTTAATTTTCAGTCTTTCAATTTTCATCAAAAATTCATATCTCGAGCTAGGGACCTCGGAATTTGATTCCGGGCATACGCCCAGGTCCCCATATTTCGATACGGACCCATCGGAACTGTTAAAATATAAGTCCGGGTCCGTTTTCTCAAACGTTGACCGAAGTCAACTAAATCAACTTTTAAAGGTAAAAATTATTATTTTTCTCAACTTTCAACATAAAAGCTTTCCTGAAATATGCCCGGACAGTGCATGAAAATTGAGGAGGAATAAAATGAGGTTTTGAAGGTCTCGGAACACGAAATCGAGTTCTAAATCATAAGATGACCTTTTGGGTCATCAAAGTAAGTGAGGGTGTAGGGATGTATGGATGGGGGTTGGTGGGGATAGGAATAAAGTGGGAAGGTTGAAATTTGAAAAAGAGTTTGAAAATATTTTCCCTTCTTTTGATAGGGAAAACATTTACTCCTATTGGAGGAAAATGAATTTATGAGGAAAATGTTTTCCAAAATATTTAAGCCAACCAAACATGAAAAAATTTAAAAACATTTCCCTTCATACCAAACACACCCTAAGAGTCGGAAGTACTAGGCGCCATTTTGAAAAGGAGGGGGGAGGAGAAAAAAGGATGGAGGGAGTAGTCCGCTAAATATTCTCTAGGCTCAAACTCATGTCTAAGTTCTATTTCTTACTAGAAAATTTACCCGCGCTTCTCTTTTGCAATAATTTATCTCAATACACCTTATCGATGAGTTTGAAGGCTTGAATTGCAGAATGAAGCCTTTCTTGATCTATAGAAAGAAAATTAGGTGATTATGTAAGAAAATATGATGGTGTTTCAGTTATGAAAATGTAAAAGCCTAAAATTGATGATGGTACTGTTTTCCAATACGTAAAATTGAATGATATACTTGATGATGGTACCGTTTGCCATTTATCTAAAATTGAATCATATGCTAATGTCAATTTTTTATAGTAATAAATAAATATTCAATTTAGAAAGTAAAAGGCCTTAATTATACAGTAATTGGGTAATTACTCTTTTTTTATAGATATTTTATTATTGATATCTCCTCCTTTTTCCTTCTTCACTTCTATGAGAAATTATGGAGCTATAATGAAGGTCCTAATTTGGGTTAACCAAATGAGTAACTAATCTTATTAACCAAATGTACTACATAGAATATATTATCCTTCCAAATAGGGGAGCTGCTACCAAGTACCAATACGTCAACAGTGCTTCTCAGTTCTCGCTGCAAAGAAAAAAAAAGGAATAAAAAGAGAAGAAAAGAAATATCTAAGTTTTCGGATATAAGTTGACAAAGTGAGTATTATTTTTGTAGTCATATTTGAGCTCAAGTACAAATAAAAATTCAGTACAACTTGTGTTACACAGATTCACTGGAACTTACCTTGATGAGATCAACCCTCTTATTTATCGTCCATAAATTAAAACTCTTTAGTACACAAAAAAAATTATAGCATAAAACAGGAAAGATAAAAGGTGAAAAAAATATTCAGATGATAAATAAGGACATACAAGCGACAGAGCATCAGATTGTTGAACTTCTTGTCTTTTACTATTTTATCATTGATGTTAGAGATTCAAAAACATCTTCATCCTAATGAGTTATAAGATTCATAATAATTGGGGTATTGTAATGAAAGAGAAGAGGAAATGCCTATGAAAGGGAATCGACAACTGATTTGCATTTTAAGCTAGAATTGGAAGAAAAAGGGCCATGCATTAATAGTCATAATTATGGTATATTTAATTCATTCCGGAAAGAAAAAAACGGAACCAATATAATTAAAATAGAGAGATTCCACGGAAGTAATAATAAGGAAAGAGATAATCATGTAGCTTTAAATTTTTGTTGTTTTTAAG